TGGAAATTAAATAATCCTGAAGAATAAGTGGATCAAAGGACAAATGATAGAAAGAATCAATCAGTTCATTAAAATAGAATGACAACAATAAGACAACATACAAAATTTATGGGATGCAGCCAAAGTAGTAGTTAGGGAGGAAAATCCCATCTCTAAATATTTCATCAATTAAATAGAGAAAGATCAGATCAATCAATTGGACATACAATTAAAAAAAACTAGAAAAGAAACTAAAAATACCCAATTAAACACTAAATTGGAAATCATGAAAGTCAAAGGAGAGATTAATAAAATAAAAAGTAAAGCAATTGAGCTAATAAATAAAACTAGGAGCTGTTTACATGAAAAATCAATAAAATAGATAAATCATAGGGTAGTTTGATTGCAAAAAGAAAGAAGACAACCAAATTACCAGTATCAAATATGAAAAAGGTGAATTCATCTGCAATGAAGATGAAATTAAAGCAATTATTAGGAGCTATTTTGCCCAATTGTATGCCAGCAAACTTGACAATCTAAGTGAAATGGATGAATATTTACAAAAATACAGATTTCCCAGATTAACAGATGAGGAAATAGAGTGCCTAAATAACCCTATCTTAAAAAAAAAGAAATTGAACAAGACATAAATCTTAAGAAAAAAATCCCCAAGACCAGATGGGTTCACAAGCAAATTCTACCAAACATTTAAAGAACACTTAATTCCAATACCATATAAACTATTTGGAAAAATAGGTAATTTGAAAAAATAGGTGAAGGAGTCCTACTAAATTCCTTTAAAATAAAATACAATGCTGATGCCTAAACCAGGAAGAGCAAAAAGAGAGAAAAAAATTATAAATCATTTTCCCTAATGAATATTGATGCAAAAATTTTAAATAAAATACTAGCAAGGAGATTACAGCAATGTATCACAAAGATCATATACTATGACCAGGTGGGATTTTACCATGAATGTAGGCCTGATTCACTCCAGAAAACTATCAGCATAATTGACCCTATTAATTAAAAAAAACCAGAAATCATAAGCTTATTTCAATAGATGCACAAAAAGCTTTTGACAAAATAGCACACTCATTTCTATTAAAAATATTGGAACAGATAGGAATAAAATGATCTTTACTTAAAATGATAGGTAGTATCTGTCTCACACATTAGCAAACAACATCTGTAATGAGAATAAGCAAGATGCCTTCCTAATAAGATAGGAGTGAAGCAAGGATACCCATTATCACCACTATTATTCAATATTATGCCAGAAATGCTAATTGTAGCAATAAGACAAGAAAGAGAACTTGAAGGAAATAGAACAAGCTATGAGGAAACAAAACCATAACTCTTCGCAGATGATATGATAGTATACTTAGAAAATCCTAGAAAATCAACTTTAAAAGTAGTTGAAATAATTGATAATTTTAGCAAAGTTGCAATATAGAAAGTAAACTCACATAATTACCAGCATTTCTATATATAATCAACAAAATCCAGATGAAAGAGATAGAAAGAGAAGTTCCATTTAAAATAACTATAGACAGCATAAAACACTTGGAGCTCTACTTGCCAAGACAAACCCAGAAACTATACAAACACTGTTACAAAACACTTTCCGCAATTTTAAAGTTAGATCTGAACAATTGGAAAAATATTAATTGCTTCATGTGTAGGCTGAGCCAATATAATAAAAATGGTAATTCTACCTAAATTAATTTAATTATTCAGTGCCATACCAATCAAATTACCCCAAAATTATTTTATTGAGCTAGAAAAAAAAAACAGCAAAATTCATCTGGAAGAACAAAAGGTCAAAAATATCAAAAGAATTAATTAAAGAAAAAATGTGAAGGAAGGTGGCCTAGCTGTACTAGATCTCAAACTGTATTATAAAGCAGTAATCATCAAAGCAATCTAGTATTGTTTAAGAAATAGAGTAGTGAACCAGTGGATTAGGCACACAATACACAATAGTAATAAACCATGGTAATTTAGTGTTGGATAAATTCAAACATCCAAGCTTTGGGGACAACAACTTAGTATTTGAAAACCAATTGAAAACTAAAAAACAGCATGGCAGAAATTAGGTATAGACTGGCTTCTCACACTATATGCCTAGATAATGTCAAAATGAGTACATGATTTAGACCTAAAGTGATACCATAAGCAAATTAGAGAAGCATGGAATAATTGACCTGTCAGATCAATGGATAAGGGAAGAATTTAAGACTAAGCAAGAGACATGGAGCTTTAAGATATGTAAATGGATAATTTTGATTATATTAAATTTAAAAGTTTTTATAAAAAGAACCATATAGCCAAGATTTTAGAAGGAAGGCAGAAAGCTGGGGAAATTTTTTATATCAAGTATCTCTGATAAAGACCTCATTTCACAAATAGAGAATGGAGTCAAATTTATAAGAATACAAGTCATTCACCAGTCGATAAATGGTCAAAGGATATAAACAGGCAGTTTTCAGATGAGGAAATTAAAGTCATCTATAGTCACAAAAAATACTCTAAATCTTATTGATCAGAGAAATACAAATTAAACAACTCTGAGGTACCTCACACCTATAAGATTGGCTAAATATGGCAGAAAAGGAAAATGACAAATATTGGAGTGGATGTGGGAAAATTGAGACACCAAACCCTGTTGGTGGAATTGCGAATTGATCCACTGTTCTGGAGAGCAATTTGGAGTGATGCCCAAAGGGCTACAAAACTGTGCATATCCTTTGAGCCAGCAGTACTACTACTAGGTCTATATCCCAAAGAGATTTTAAAAATAAAAGTGATCTATTTTACAAAAAAAAATTATAGCAGCTTTTTTTTTGTGGTAGCAAAGAAATGGAAATTGAGGGGATGCCTATCAATTGAGGAATGACTAACTAAGTTTTGTTAAATGATTGTAATAGAATACTATGTGCCGCAAGAAATGATGAGCAGGATGGTTTCAGAAAAAGTTGAAAAGATTTACATGAACTAATTCAGAGTGAAGTGAGCAGAACCAGGAGAACATTGTACCCAGTAACAGCAACACTGTACGATGATCAACTCTGAATGACTTAACTATTTTCAGCAATACAATCATCCAAGACAATTCCAAAGTACTCATGATTGAAGAATCCTATCCCCTTCCAGAGAAAAAACTAATAGAATAAGAATGCAGATCAAAGCTTTCCATTTTTCATATTCTTTATTTTTGGTGTGTGGTTTGTTTTTTGAGAATTTAGAATTTAAGTTTTTTAAAAAAGAATGCTAAAATTGTTTTTACATGCAACTAGAAAAAATAAAACATTATCCAAAATAAAAAAAAATAAAAATAAAGATATCTAGAACAAATTATATTGTTATATGTAAGGGAGATGTTGAAAAAAAAAAGATGTACTGATGTGTTCAAATTTTTATTCTAGGATGAAAATTTATATCTAAAATGTAAATGTCATGGGAAAAGTATGTTTTAGAATTTTATATCAGTGATTGCCTTTCACATTTCACACATGACTTTTGCATAGGTAGGAATTATTAATATGGGAAAGAAAATTAATTATATTAAATTGCTTTTACCTGTCCACTGATATTCAGTACTAATAAAAATTAATTTAAATGTCAATCAAGATACAGATAAAGACAAAGATAAGGATAATACCCATGATTTCATTTTTAGAGGTAATGCCCAGGTGAATAAGTTCCTTCTACCAAAGGAAGTCAGCACCTCTACAACTTAGACTTGGAGAATTGCCTACAGCACTGAGAAATTAAGTTATTTGCCAAGGGTTTCTTGACCGGTATGTGTTAAAGGTAGTAGTTGAACATAGGCATTCCTGACTTTGAGGCCAGTTGTAAATATCAATAGAATTGCCATTTTTTACATGTAAACTGATTCAATTAACTGCAATACCTAAGTTTTTATTTTCCCTGAATCTAATGATAACTTGATTTCTCATAAGGCAAAGTGGATTGAATCTTAGACTCAGAGTCAAGTTTTACATTTGAATCTTTCTGTTTACACTTACTATGTGACTACCGAAATTCCTTTAAGGCTGAATTTCTTCATGTGTAAAATGGGGATAATACCATCCATAGTATGTCCACTTCATCTCAGTTTCCTGGCTCTTTTCTAGTCTGTGAAAAGTACCTAATCTTCCCTATTTTTTAATTGTGTATTTTTCAATAGATACAACTTTTTTTCCTGAGAGCATTCTGTTCTTTTCACATCAGTATCTGCCTTGTGAATCACAAATTAGGATGCCATTACCTGGTGTATGATTTCATAGTGGGGAAGAAATTTGAGGGGCAGCTAGGTGGCACAGTGGATAGAGCACCAGCCCTGGAGTCAGGAGGACCTGAATTCAAATCCTGTCTCAGACCAGACACTTGACAATTACTAGCTGTGTGATCTTGGGCAAGTCACTTAACCCCAATTGCCTCACCCCCCGAAAGAAGAAAAGAAAGAAATGTGAGGTTATTACTTTTCTCCTTGCTGACATTTTCTAATCCCCTCAACTAGTTTCCTTTGTAGGATCCATTTTCATTTTCAGCTCCCAAATATATGTGCAGGCATTTTGTTACTGACATTAATATCAATTAATTATCTCAACTCAATAAATTGACTTTAGGGGAAGTTGGTTTTTTTTTAATCCGGGCTGAAAGATCTTAAACAAAAGAATAGCACTCTTTGGTAGATACATATATTTTGTGTGTGTGTGTGTGTGTGTGTGTGTGTGTGTGTGTGTGTGTATACACACATATATATGTATGTATATGTATGTATATATACACCTATTCTATATGTATTCACATGTGTATCTATATATCTACATATATATGCATGCATACATATTCATACCTAAATGAATTATGTTCAGATATATCCTTTCATTCCCTTTGATAAGGATTTTGGCAGATTATAGGGATCAGAGAGCTTATTTCTATCAATTTCCATAGAGTATGGACAAGATCATAGAATCTAATATCTGTGGTATATTTGTTTGTCTTTTGTACAGGAGAATAGTGTTGAATTTGAAGCCTGCCTGGTAGCCCAATGTGATGCTCTAATTGATGCTCTCAACAGAAGAAAAGCTCAGTTGCTTTCCCGAGTAAACAAGGAACATGAACACAAGCTAAAGGTGAGTACTGAGATCTAAGAAAAGAAAAGAAAGAAACAAGTTGGATCTCAGTTTCAACTGGTGGGATATTTTATCATTGTTCTGAGAGAAGAATTTAGGACACCCTCTGGTTTCCAGAAATAATGAAGCAAAGAAAATATGCACATATGTGATTTATATTCATACTGGGCAAAAAGAAAAATGAGCAGAAGAATTTCCTGCTTCCAAGAAATGTTCAATACTTACCATAAATATATGTAATTAGGTAGCTGATGATTTTGTCTCATGTTTATGTTACACAGTAGAATTAGTAATAGAAAAAGAAAAGTATTTTCTCTATGAGCTTGGGTTCATCCAGAGAGAGAATAAAATTCCAACTTTTTTCACTGCTACTTCTTAAGACTTCTTCCTCCAATGTAAAACCGTAGCTTTTCAAGATACAACTATTTCCATGGGGTTTATGGAGTGTTTCAAGGAGGACTAGCACCTCTGGTATGAGGGCTTGTTGAGCCCTTTTAAGGGCTGTTCATCCACCTTTGCTGTCTACCTGCCACACAACTCTCATCTGTGGCTCCAAGAAGCTGTAGCATGTGTGGTGCCTACACCAGGTAAACCATCTCAGTAGATAGGCTAACAACCCATAGGTGAGCTAGCAGGTGTCTACCTCAAGCATGTGAAGACTTCCCCCAGTGCAATGGGCAAATGAGAACAATGAAATGAGTCAAACAGGTTAATCATCCAGGTTCAAGACTTTGAACCTGGTCATGTTTGCATCTATCCTTTTATCTCCACTCACACGACCACCACCAATGTTCAGACCCTTAAGACCTCTCACTTAAACTGTTATAATAACCTGATAATTGGTCTTTTTTGTCATGGTAGGTAATGAGATCACCAAGAGAGCTTTTTTATAGGAAGAAGAGAAGAGGCCCAGATCAGAGCTCTGGGGGATAACCATATTTAGTGAGTATAACTTGGATGAAGGTTCAGAAAAGGAGACTAATAAGCACTGGTCAGAAGGTAGGAAGAGAACCAAGACAGAAGAGTGTCCCAAAAACCTGTATGGAAGAGAGTGTCAAGGAGAAAAAGGTTATTGACAACATTGAAAGTAGCGAGATGTCACAGGAGACAGAACATTGGTCCTGGAGTTAGGAAGATCTGTGTTCAAATCCAACCTCAGATACTAACTAGCTTTATGATCTTGGGCAATTCCCCTAACCTGTTTGACTCAGTTAAACCTCAATAAAATGGGAGTAATAATAGTATGCCGCTTCCCAGGTTTGTTGTGAAGATTAACTGAGATGATATTTGTAAAGCACTTAGCTCAGAGCCTGGCACGTAGTAGCCACATGCAAATGTTAGCTGATTTATTATTATTATTATTATTATTATTATTATTATTGCTGTTATTGTTATTATTATTATTAATGTCTGCAAAGAAGTCCAGAGAGATGAATATTGAGAAAAGGCAATTGAATTTGGCAATTAAGAGATCACTGGTAAGTTTAGAGAGAGCAGTTTGGGTTGAATCATAAGGACAGAAGTCAGACTGTAAAGAGTTAAGAGAACAAGAGAGGAGGTAGAGGCACATATAGATGGTCTTCTCAAAGAGTTTAGTCACAAAAGGCAAAAGGGAAATGGAATGATAGCAGGGATGGAAGGATCAGGTGAGGGTTTTTGAAAATGGAAGAGAGATGGGCATGTACATATGTAGCAGAGAGGCAGCCAGTAGACCAGGAGAAATTGAAGATAAGTGAGAGAATGGGGATGATACAGGAGACAATCTTCTGGAAAAGATGGGATGAAATAGGGTCACTTGTTCAAGTAAAGGAGTTTGCCTTGGCAAGGAGAAGAGCCATCTCTTTTTGTGAGATGGTTGAAGGAAGATATAGTGATAGAAGGTTTTGGAGTAATAGGAGATGAGGAGGAGTGGAGAAGGGGGAGCTCTCAGCAAATGGTCTCATTTTCTCCATTAAAATATGAGGCAGGGTTCTCAGTTGAGAGAAGGAGGACAGGGACCCAAAGGTTTGTAGAGGTATAAAAAGGTTTGGAACAACAGATGTGGTGAGTGGGATAGTTAGTTTATTAGAGTGGGGCAGGATTGCAAAGCAACAGTGACGGCTTATTTGAGACTACATAGCATAAATATGTAGTGGGACCAGTTAGAACAGTTAAATGATTTTCTTCCCCTTCGTTTAGCAAAATAAGTGTAGAAGTTAAGGTAACAGATGATGGAAGTGATCCAAGACTGAGGCTTAGTGGGGCACATTTTGTGGCAATATGATATGAGGTTACATGACTCAAAAGAAGAGAATGAGTCAAAATGAGGAAAGGAGGAAAATGTAGCTAGCACAGGGATAATAAATAGCTGAGAAGAGAACTGAGAAGTTCATGGCCTGGAAATCATGATGCGGACCAAGAGCATGGTTTTATAGAAAATAGAAGGAGAGATGGAAAGCCAATAGCGTGTGATCAAATAAGGGAGTTCCAGATTTCCTAAACATGGAGGTGATGCATTTGTGGGTGATGGCAACATCAAGGGTATGACCATTATTCCAAACCTTAATTCCATGTGTAACTGAAGTGGCATAGAGTAGATCATGAGAAATGATTATGTTGAGGAATCGAGAAGTTATAGTGTTTGAGAGAGTATCAATATGTACTTTGAAGATCCTCATTTTGAGGTCAGTAGTTGGAAAGGAGAGAAAAATTATGAGCTAGGTGCTAAACTCATTGAGGAAAGAAAGGAAGTGTCCTAGATGTTTTGCCAGCAGGATTTTGATTGAGTGGGAGATGTGAAATGTATGGACATCAAAGGAGGAGAGGTAACTGAATGTTGGTGGTAAGGGCACTGGGGAGCAAAGAGTATTCCAACTCCTCTCACCTTGACTAGTGAGTTGAGGGAAATAAGTGAAAGTGCCAGGGCTGGAAAGGATGGGCAGGAAGTCTGTATCACATGTACAAAAATATTTACAGCCCCTTTTTTATGATGGTGAAGAATTGGAAATTGAGGGGATGCCCATCAGTTGTGGAATGGCTGAACAAGTTGTGGTATATGAATGTAATGGAATACCATTGTGCTGTAAGAAACGATGAGCAGGCAGACTTCAAAAAATCTGGAAAGACTTACATGAACTGATGCTGAGTGAAATGAGCAGAATCTGGAGAACATTGTACACAGTAACAACAACGTTATGTGATGAGCAACTTTGATAGACTTAGCTCTTCTCAGCAGTACAATAATCTAAGACAATTCCAAAAGACTCATGATGGAAAATGCTATCCACATCCAGAGAACAATCTACGGAGTCTAAAGGAGATTAAAGCATATGATTTTCTCAGGGTTTTTTTTTTGTCATTTTTTCTCTCTTGTGGTTTTTCCTTTTGTTCTGATATTTCTTTCACAATATGACTAATGTGACAATATGTTTAATATGATTGTATATTTATAGCCTGTACCAGATTGCTTGCTGTCTTGGGGAAGGAAAAGGGGGAGAAAAATTTGGAATTCAAAATTTTACAAAAGTGAATGTTGAAAACTACCTTTACATGTAATTGGAAAAAATAAAATATTATTAAGTGAAAGAAAAAAAAAGGAAGTATGTGTCATTAAGAGGCAGATCTCAGTGAGAGTCAGAATATGGAAGGAGAGGGAAAAAAAAAGATTTAAGATGAAAATAAGTTTTTGCCTATGGAACAGGCATTCCAGATGCCACAGAGAATAGGTAGATTGAATTTTATTGGGATGTGGATATGAGTGGGTTGAGGAGGATGGGAATAAGGAATTGGGCAGTGGCAGCTGTATGTTGTGGGAGATGCTTTGCATTGTTCTGGGACATAATGAAACCATAACAATTTCATACACAGAAGCTTCTGAAGAAATTCACCTTCTTCAGGGAATTCTTCAACTTAGATTCTGCACTAGATCTTCTCCATCACAGTGGCAACCATACATCTCCCAGTGTTATGCCTTGTCTGATGTTTATGGTCAAAGGATCATTGAACAGAGTTATTTCTATTGTAGTATCTTTTAAGGGATCTTGAATGATTTTCAAAGAAGGATGGAGGACAATTCTTATTGGAGAACAACCTTTCAGGCAGTATTTTGCCCTATCTTACCAAAATTGACAAATAAGAATAACAGAATTTTGCATTCCTTAGACCTTTCCATAAGTTACAAAGAAGTGGCCTACAGTTGAATCTGTTTCTTCCCTACCAATCCCCTTGTCAATAATGCCCTTTATTAATATGTAGATGACTCACATAAAAATTTTGTATAGGTGAGAACATAAGCATCTAATTGAAAACTAGATATTTTCCAAGTTGCCCATGGGTGTGTGTGTGTGGGGGGAGAAGTAATGACCTGGGGGCAGCTAGGTGGCATAGTGAATAGAGCACCAGCTCTGGATTCAGGAGGACATGAGTTCAAATCCGGCCTCAGACACATAACACTTACTAGGTGTGTGACCCTGGGCAAGTCACTTAAACCCAATTTGCCTAACCAAAAAAAAAAGAAGTAATGACTTATATGGTCTGAATTCTTTCCTGTGTTTTTGGTATCTTCTTCAAATATCTTGTCCCTCAATACCTTCACAATTGTCACTGGTGCACTAGCACTCTGAGCCTTCCTTCTCCTGCTCAGTGCAGCATGTTCTTGAGGAAAATCTGCTTAGGACCAGGCCCCGCATCTTCCATCTGCCCCAAAGCAACTACTTTCATCTTTACCCACAAGACATCTTCCACCACCTATTCCCAGCCCAGTCTCTCAACTGGGATGTGAAGAACCTCCAGTGCAAAGAAGGGTAACTCTCCCTTCGACTTCAGGCCTCCCACTTTTACTTTGCCTGTCCTTTGTGGGAATAATGGTGCCCTCCATTCAGTGATGAACATACTCATGATTAGTAGCATGCTTCACATTCCACTGCCTCTGAACTCCTGTAAATCATCATCTCAATCCCACTTCATATCCCCTACCACCTGATTCCTCATTCCCATCCCTTTCAACCCTTCCATCTCAAATT